CAGGTCTCGGGGTGGTGGTGGGGGGTGCACAGTGTACAGTTCCAGGTCTCGGGGGGAGGACTGTACAGTCTCGGGGTATTTGTGTTTTTGCTTCCAGTAATACTCGGCGGTGGGTGGCGCCATCTGGTGGTCATGTCTGTAATTGCGCCTTCCCGGCTCTAGTCTCCATGTATATGTTGTGACTTTCCTCACTCGTATCTGACCTTTGACCCTCGTTTGTCTTTTTTTTCTTCCAGAAGGAACTGAGTCTCCCCCGCAGAGGAAGCTTGTAAGTGAATTTCTTCTTCTTATTCTCAGTCTGTTGTGTGAATTGTTTTGTCTTCAGGCCAAATATTGGAGAAGAAATATCTTGATGACGATTTCCCTGATCGGTCCGTAACCGTCTGAGCCGATCACCAATCCTCCCAATGTCCATCCTTCCCCCAATACCATCCTTATGGTGCCAGTTGTGTGAATTGCCCGTATCCTTCTATATATAGGTCGGTGGGGGCGGCACAATCTGTATACAGCCTTCTGTATAGAAACCAGAGTGAAGGCTAAAGGGTCACATCTACTCTGTCCGGGGTCACATCTACTCTGTCCCGGGTCACCAGAGCTTTGCCGGGGTCACCAGAACTTTGCCAGGGTCACATCTACTCTGTCCGGGGTCACCAGAGCTTTGCCAGGGTCACATCTACTCTGTCCGGGGTCACCAGGGCTTTGCCAGGGTCACATCTACTCTGTCCGGGGTCACATCTACTCTGTCCGGGGTCACATCTACTCTGTCCGGGGTCACCAGAGCTTTGCCGGGGTCACATCTACTCTGTCTGGGGTCACATTTACTCTGTCCAGGGTCACCAGAGCTTTGCCGGGGTCACATCTACTCTGTCCGGGGTCACCAGAGCTTTGCCGGGGTCACATCTACTCTGTCCGGGGTCACCAGAGCTTTGCCGGGGTCACATCTACACTGTTCGTGGTCACCAGAGCTTTGCCAGGGTCACCAGAGCTTTGCCAGGGTCACATTTACTCTGTCCAGGGTCACCAGAGCTTTGCCGGGGTCACATCTACTCTGTCCGGGGTCACCAGAGCTTTGCCGGGGTCACATCTACTCTGTCCGGGGTCACCAGAGCTTTGCCGGGGTCACATCTACACTGTTCGTGGTCACCAGAGCTTTGCCAGGGTCACCAGAGCTTTGCCAGGGTCACATTTACTCTGTCCAGGGTCACCAGAGCTTTGCCGGGGTCACATCTACTCTGTCCGGGGTCACCAGAGCTTTGCCGGGGTCACATCTACTCTGTCCGGGGTCACCAGAGCTTTGCCGGGGTCACATCTACTCTGTCCGGGGTCACCAGAGCTTTGCCGGGGTCACATCTACTCTGTCTGGGGTCACATTTACTCTGTCCAGGGTCACCAGAGCTTTGCCGGGGTCACATCTACTCTGTCCGGGGTCACCAGAGCTTTGCCGGGGTCACATCTACTCTGTCCGGGGTCACCAGAGCTTTGCCGGGGTCACATCTACACTGTTCGTGGTCACCAGAGCTTTGCCAGGGTCACCAGAGCTTTGCCGGGGTCACATTTACTCTGTCCAGGGTCACCAGAGCTTTGCCGGGGTCACATCTACTCTGTCCGGGGTCACCAGAGCTTTGCCGGGGTCACATCTACTCTGTCCGGGGTCACCAGAGCTTTGCCGGGGTCACATCTACACTGTTCGTGGTCACCAGAGCTTTGCCAGGGTCACCAGAGCTTTGCCGGGGTCACATTTACTCTGTCCAGGGTCACCAGAGCTTTGCCGGGGTCACATCTACTCTGTCCGGGGTCACCAGAGCTTTGCCGGGGTCACATCTACTCTGTCCGGGGTCACCAGAGCTTTGCCGGGGTCACATCTACACTGTTCGTGGTCACCAGAGCTTTGCCAGGGTCACCAGAGCTTTGCCGGGGTCACATTTACTCTGTCCAGGGTCACCAGAGCTTTGCCGGGGTCACATCTACTCTGTCCGGGGTCACCAGAGCTTTGCCGGGGTCACATCTACTCTGTCCGGGGTCACCAGAGCTTTGCCGGGGTCACATCTACACTGTTCGTGGTCACCAGAGCTTTGCCAGGGTCACCAGAGCTTTGCCGGGGTCACATTTACTCTGTCCAGGGTCACCAGAGCTTTGCCGGGGTCACATCTACTCTGTCCGGGGTCACCAGAGCTTTGCCGGGGTCACATCTACTCTGTCCGGGGTCACCAGAGCTTTGCCGGGGTCACATCTACACTGTTCGTGGTCACCAGAGCTTTGCCAGGGTCACCAGAGCTTTGCCGGGGTCACATTTACTCTGTCCAGGGTCACCAGAGCTTTGCCGGGGTCACATCTACTCTGTCCGGGGTCACCAGAGCTTTGCCGGGGTCACATCTACTCTGTCCGGGGTCACCAGAGCTTTGCCGGGGTCACATCTACACTGTTCGTGGTCACCAGAGCTTTGCCAGGGTCACCAGAGCTTTGCCGGGGTCACATTTACTCTGTCCAGGGTCACCAGAGCTTTGCCGGGGTCACATCTACTCTGTCCGGGGTCACCAGAGCTTTGCCGGGGTCACATCTACTCTGTCCGGGGTCACCAGAGCTTTGCCGGGGTCACATCTACACTGTTCGTGGTCACCAGAGCTTTGCCAGGGTCACCAGAGCTTTGCCAGGGTCACATTTACTCTGTCCAGGGTCACCAGAGCTTTGCCGGGGTCACATCTACTCTGTCCGGGGTCACCAGAGCTTTGCCGGGGTCACATCTACTCTGTCCGGGGTCACCAGAGCTTTGCCGGGGTCACATCTACTCTGTCCGGGGTCACCAGAGCTTTACATGCCGGAGATCCGGCCAGGCACAATGAGCTTCTTCCCGATATCCCTGCGTGGGTCAGGTGTCAAAAAGTGTATGTTTCGGTAGTCTGCGTGTGGAATATTCAATGTACTTTGGTGCAGAAGTTCGGCAGTGTGGGTCAGGCAGGAAGCCGGCTCAGTACATCCACCATGGCGGGAGCGCAGGAGTCTTCCCTGTAGTGCCCGGTGCTCCTCCGCCATTGTCCTCCGGGTCCCATTCATGTTTTGGGCGGCGGCAGGAAGTTTATTTATATTTATTCTTAATGT